TCTGCTATTTTACTGTTATCTTGGGATATTACAATAATCTCATTATACAAAAAAGAGAAACCGAGAAAGGAAGAAACTAGATTCAAGCACAAACTGCTTCAGATTCCACTTTTCACCTATACACTCCCCCTACCCTACAGGATTCTCTCTAGCCCTGAGGTTTATGTTCCTGATACCATCACACCCCATCCCAAAAAGGAACACATGCAGACTCATATTTTTTTAAATATTTTTGTTTCACATTTACCAGCCAACAGTGTTCGAAGCAATGCATAAGAACCACAATATCAAATGTATTTCTTGCCTTCAGAGATGTGGAAAACCTACTTGTTCACTCAGGGAAAAAAAAAAGTTATATCAGGTCATTTGTTAATGGTTCTGTTCTTTAGATAAAGAATGAATGCACTTTATAAATTTCTTTTCAATTATGAAAGCTACAAACGCTTGTGATCAGAACTCAGGAAAGGGAATGTGAGGGTAATGGAAATGATGCAAGTTGGGTTTGGAGAGGCAGACAGGGATCAGAACAAGCAAACAAAAAAAGACACGCACCCCCGCTAAGTCTTTTTTCAAGAAGACATCAACTCACGTTCTCCAAAGCACCTTGGAAACGTCTCTTAGCATTTTTACACTGAATGGAAATCACATGTGTTCTGCCTTTTAACTAAAGAGTTCTACTAAGCAAAGAACAGAATTCACCCCTAAATTCTCACAGCCCGAGAGAAGGGGATGCTTTTACAAGGTTTAGATCTCTCATAATTTAAAGGCGCAAAAAGGAACAAGAATGTGAGCGTGCATATTTAGGAAGAGGAATCACAGACATTTAAGAATGGAAGTTTGTGATCGGGATACACGATAGGGAGATCGGGAAACACTATTGCCTCCCTATGAAAAAGCCAAGAGGTTGCCTTCTAGCCCTCCCGGGTAGATCGCCTCAGTCTCTTCAGCCTGGCGCTAAACCGGCTCCGGACGCTCAAGACTCAAAGCACATTTAATTCTCTAGGGGAGCAGAAGGGTAAGAAGAGCTCATCGGGCCACACCCACCTCCTGGAGGCGGAGGAAAAGTGCGGTACCCGCCGAGCAAGCAGACCCCGGGATTTCATCAGCCTGCACCAACCCCCCGAGCCGCTAGGGTCCCGGGAAGGAACTGCTCGCTGAGATGCACATTCAAAACCTTTCCAGCGCTCGCCAAATCATCTTGACCGCCTTCCCCAAGGCAACTCTCCCATCAGCGCCCAGGGCATCCGGCAGATACTGGCCAGTGGCCTCCGAGTCATCCGCGCTCCTCCCGGCGCCGCGGGGCCGGCCCGCACCTCCGCTCGGCACGGTGGGCCCTGTCCAGCAAGCGGACTGGCCCCGAGTCAGGGCGACGCCCTGGGCCGCCAGAGTCGCCTCCCTTCCAAAAGGCGTGCTCAGGTTCCAGCCCACCCGCGAGCAGCGCCCCGGGCGCAGGGTGCGCCCGCGCTCGGCAGCCACGTCGCCCTGACAAACTCTACCCGCGCCCACCACCGCCGGGACCGGGATGCTCAGGTAAGTCGTCCCGCGCCACTCCGCGGCCGGGCAGCCCCGTCCCTCAGTACCCTGGACTTTTGGCATGGACCCAGCTCCCCAACCCTCTTTACCGAAATGCTGAGAAGTGAAAGGGGCGGTGGCGGGGGCGGCAGCGCTGCGAGGGCCGGAGCAGCCGGGTGACCAACGTGGACACGAGACACGATGCGGCCATGGCCCGCGCCGGTGCCCGCGCTGGGAGAGAAGCGCGCGCGCGGGCTGCGCGGTTATACCGCGGCCGCGTGGCAGGCCCCGCCTTCCAGTAGCACCCATTGGTCCTGGTCGCACCCCACTTGCTGTCTGTTGGGCCTGCAGGAGCTAAAGGAGCCAATTGGTTGTCTTCATTAAACGTAAGCGAAATCCAGTGAAGCCGTGCTGGCAACTAGAAGGGCGATCGCCTGAGCGCCCAGGACGCGGAAGCCTGGGTAGCGGTCCATGACTGGCTGAGGAAGGCAAGCCCCCTGCCAGACCTCGCCGGAGTCACCCGAGACCCCGACGTGAGCGACCCAGACGTGAGCCACGGTCTGTTCCTTCATTGACTAGCAAATAGCTGAGGTGTGTCGGGCGCTGTAAAGAATGGATAAAAAAGATAGGCAGAGAGCATACTAACTGATGTAGAATGATGGAGTTAGAAAAGACCTATTTGGCAAAAGCATAGTAAAAATTGATCAGAAACAAAGGATATCAACTCCGTTAAGTCACATGAAGAGCAAGTTGTTGAAAGGGTTGGTGTCGCTACACAATGGAATACTACACACACACATGGAATACTGCCACACACACACACAAAAGATGAACTCATGCCACTAGGGCCCTCCCTAGTGCCCAGTGGGTTAGGATGCAGCACTGCAAGCTAGCTGCTGCCTATTCAGTGCGAATTTGATCCCGGCCCCAGAGGTGACCCATGTGGTGCAGCAGGCCTCTCCTGACCCACCCGCTGCTCCCCTCAGCAGTGTGCTTCCTTGATCTGCCTGTTCTGCTCCCCACTCTGTCTCTGGTGAAGTCTCTCACTGCCCCTGCACCTCTGGCCTGTACCCCCAGTTCTGTATGCACAAATAAATAAATCTTTTTGAAAAAATGGATGGAATGTGAAAGGTTGTTGCTAAGTGAAATAAATCAAAAGGAGAAAGGTAAATACTAGATGGTGTCACTCATATGTGGAATATATAGTAACTAAATTAATAGCTGAAGACAAGCTGAAATACCAAGCTTTAATCACTGACTACAGAACTGAGACACCAAGGTGGGAGTGAGGAGGGAAGGAACAAAGAGGGAAGGAAGTACAATGATCTATGGTGGTAGAATAGGAGTGCAAGGGTGGTGGATACACCATAAAGGTATACCTGATGGGTATACCCCAAATAAAAATAAATTAAAAAATGTAAAAACAAGATATTTACATACAAGTTTGTCAGATCTTGCAAATAAAAATGCAAGAGGCCCAATTAAATTTGAGTTTTTAAAAAAGTATCTGTTAAATATTTGAAATGTAAATTCAACTGGACTTTCTGAATCTTATCCTGCCACTTTATTTGCATAATCTCAAAGTATTGTTCCAATAAAATATAAATTAATAGCAAAGGGGGAAGTGCTAAATTTATAATAGCAGTGAAATCTAACAAGCATCACTTTAAATTAAATAAGTGATCAAAGTTAATACCACAGTGATGGGGCAAGAACGTGCATTGTGCTTCCAGATATGATGCATTGAAGACCCATCACTTTATTTTTTTTATATATAATAGTTTATTTTTACATCATTTTGTACATTTTTTTTTCATCTCAATTGTAATCCCCATGGGTTTCCCATCACCAAGTCACCCATGTGCCATCATCATAATCCTGTGCACTTCATTCCCCCCTGCCCCCATTTTTGATCCCATTCCCGACTCCACCCCCACAAAATGTCTCTGGTATATGGCTGTTCATTATTCTTATTTTTTTCTCGCCTGATCCATTATACTCCTGCTATGAGCAAAACCATCCGGTATTTTTCTTCTTCTTTCTGGCTTATCTCAATAAGCATGATCTTTTCCAGCTCCATCCAAGTTGCTGCAAAAGACATGTGTTTCTTTTTTTTGGTTGCTGAGTAATATTCCATTGTGTATATGTACCACATCTTTTTAATCCAGTCATCTACTTTTGGGCATTTGGACTGCTTCCATGTTTTTCCAATTGTAAATAAAGCAGCAATAAAATTGGGGGTGCAGGTATCTTTTTGAATCAGTGTTTTTGTGGAAGTCCCATCACTTTAACTTTGAACAAGTCTGAAAATTGAATGAATTGATTTTCTTAACTAATTGTGATCCTAAGACAAAGTTGCAGTTTTCTCATTTATAATTGATTTACAAATCTGGAATGTTAAAACAGTCCATATTCCTAAAATTTTGGACTATACTAGTAGGTTTTAATCAAATCACAAGGGAGGAAGACTCAAACCAAGAGACAATCTACAAGAAAAACTGCCTGTACTCTAAAAAATCCCAAGGTCATAAAGCAAAGAATGAGGAGCTCTTTTAGATTTAGAAGAGTATTAACCTTGACAATTAAATGTGATGTGATTCTTCTTCTTTTTCTTCTCTCTCCCCCCCTCTCTAAAGTTTGTAAACCTGCTAATAGCTTTGTCTCAATGTTAATTTCCTGATTTAGCTAATCATTGTGGTTATGTGAAAGAATGTACCTGCTTTTAGTCCTTTTATATGGGTAAAAGGACTATCAAATATCCCAGAAATATATATATAATAAGACAGTAAATATAATTTCAATATTAGTTTGTTAGAGAAACCATAACAAAATATCATAGTCAGGGTACTTAAACAACAGAAATTTATTGCTACTTTCTCTCTCGAACTTCTGGAGGCTGAAGGCTGGGAGTCTGAGAACAGGATGACAGCAGGCTGGTTTCTCCTGAAGCTCTCTCCTCTCCCAGCAAGCATCTGGCTTCTTGCTATCCTCACATGCCTTCTCTGTGGCAGCACACTCTGGATAGCTTAATCTCCTTCTATAAGGACTCCAGTCACAGAGGGTTAGGGCCCATTGTAGCCACCTCATTTTAATTTTATTGCCTTTTTATAAGCTCTATATCCATATATAGGAACATTCTAATATATTGGGAATTAAAGTCTCAGCAGTGGGGGGTCACCATCAGCACAGAATAATGTATATACAGAAAGAGAAATTGATAAAGCATATGCAAATGAACCAGAGTAACATCTGGGGTACCGAGGAAAGAATATAGTCTTTGAACTTTTCTTGTAACCTATTTGTATGCCTAATACTTTTTCAGAATAATTTTGTAAGAACAGTAAGATTTCTGCCCTCCTGGGACTTGAAAGGTAAGGCAGATGTGCAGTGTCTAAGAGAAGAAGCTAAGATAGGAAGGTGGTGCTGAGAATCCTCCATGCAGCAGGCAAGAGAGGTTGTCCAGATCACGGCATGTCTGGCAGGACAGGGCAGGAGATGATTCTCGGATCCTTCCCCAGTGAGTCACAGAGAGCAGCTCCTACAGCCACATCCGCCTTGCAGAGCATCTATCAATTGGGAACGGAACCAGCCATGCCAGACTGGAAGGTACCTAAAAATATTGGACATTCCCTTTTCCCAAAATGTGACTTTTGTGAGTAATACCATGAAAACATTACTAGATTTTTTTTTAAAGATTTATTTATTTGTACATGCAGAACTGGGGTACAGGCCAGAGGCTCAGGGGCGGTGAGAGGCTTCACCAGAGACAGAGTGGGGAGCAGAACAGGCAGATCTATGAAGTACACTGCTGAGGGGAGCAGCTGGCGGGTCAGGAGAGGTCTGCCACGCCATGTGGTCACCTCCAGGGCAGGAGGGAATCAAACTCATGTGGAAGTGGCTTTAGCTTCTCAGTGCAGTGCTTTAACCCGCTGCGCCACCAGGGAGGGCCCACTAGATGTTTTTAATATGTTTAACAAAAGGTTTTGCTTCTATTCTCCCAGTATTACATAGAAATATCATTTGTGTAACAAAAATACTTTATATTCTGGTCTTAAGTCTGTGGGGGTGAGGGCGCTCAGGCCCTCTACACTTGGGCCCCAACTCGCCTTTCTGTCTGCTCTCCTTGCTTAGCCCTCCAGTGAACACATCTGAATTTCTACCAGGTGTTGGACAGTCCTCATCTCTGCTCCCTAGCAACACTATTATTCACCCCTCAAAGCTGTACCCCTAGACTGCCTAACTTAAAGCCATACCTCTAGGCTTCCACTTTCAGTGACACAAATACTTCATAGACACAGAAAGAATCAAGAAAATGGCATTTTTGCTCTAACACAATACAAACAGAATGAACTACCCTCTCCTCTGGCCTGGTTTATCTGTTTCAGTCTTCAAAATCACACAAATAGCCACATTATTTGTGCACTTGCCTATTTCTTCTGATTTAACCAAGACAATTCATGTCTCATGAATTGTTTGTGCAAGCACAAAGCACACTAATGACCACACATCTATTAATAATTGTTCTAATAATAGCTAAACTTTATCGCACACCTACAGCTTATTAGGCACTGTTTTAAGCACTTTGTGTCTGTTATCTCATTTAATTCTCACAATAACTCCATGAAGTGCTATTATTATCTCCATTTTGTAGATGGGGAAAATAAAGCACAGGAAGTTGAAGGAGGATGGCCAAGGCTACAGTGGTAAGGGACAAGGGCTGAGCCTAGATGACGCTGGCTCCAGAACTCCCGCTAGAATATTAGCTGCCTGTGGTGAGCACTTATGCTGTGCCAGCTGTTCAGCACTGTTCCTTTAATCCCAGCACCACAGCCAAGTAGTTATTATGTTCCCCATTTCAGATGAAAGAACTGAGACTCAGAGATTTGGTCATTTATCTGAAGTAACTTACCAGTAGGGTGAAGCAACCTACACCCCAAAATGGGTCATGACCCCTGTCTTCCCTTTCATATGGGCCTGAGTGGTATCCAGACACCACACAATATGGCTTGAAATTACAATGAGTGAGAGAACAGTAGGGGAGGTTCTTGTGTTTAGTTGGCAGCTAAACACAAGTGTTCTATGCCTGGTAGAACCACAGAGCTTATGAACTCCAACCCAGCCCATTCCTCCACTAGTCAAGTTTCCACTGAAATTGACTCACCCAAAGAAATCAGAATCCTTTACCATCTCCAGCATTTCTGAGGAAGGATCATACCAG